GTCATCCCCAGCAACTCAGGGAAGGACAAGTGGGAGGACTGCAGCTTAAGCCAGCACTGTCAGAAAGTAAAACTCTACTTCAACAATAACCAATGCAAAAAAAAAGGGCTAGAGGCATGGCTCAAGTGGTTGAGTGCCTGCCTAGGAAGTAGGAGTCCCTAAATTTAATCCTCCCTCCCCCACAAAAAAAAAAAATGTAGTTTTTTATTTCGATAAGACTTAGTGAGCTCTGTCTGTTTTGCATTTCTTTTAAATATCTTTGCTTTTGCTTTATGGAATTGAGTTTTATTTAACTCTTGAAATTTACTCTTTTCAAATGTTTTCTTTTTGCAGGAGCTGCTGCTCAAGAGGTTATCAAAATAATCACCAAGCAGTTTGTAATTTTTAATAATACTTATATTTATAGTGGCATGTCCCAAACTTCAGCAACTTTCCAGTTATAGAATAAGCACCCTGTGCAGTGTGGTAATGATTGAAACTTTAATTGCCTCCAGATCACGCTCTACACTGTACAGTTCTGCTGAAGGAGAGCTGTTAAATTGTTGCCTCAATAAACATTTTTCTCATTTGTAATGTGGTCTTACTCTTTGGAACAGAGAGAGAAAGGAATCATCTTCCTAAGAATAAAGCTACTCATGAAATTCAGTTCATTCATGATGCTTTGCTACTTCACTTATCATAAAATGCATGTTTCATTAGAAATAGTTTTAATTTTTTTATTTTAAGTAATGAATATAAACCACATATGGACTCTAGCTGTAGACAATTTAAGACCAGTATTATTTGTTAAAACAGATTTAAAAAGAGACATTTCAGGATGTAGGTTTTTGTTTTTTTTGTTTTTGGCTAGTCCTGGGACTTGAACTCAGGGCCTGAGCACTGTCCCTGGGCTGCTTTTGTTCAAAACCAGCACTCTACCACTTGACCACAGAGCCACTTCTGTCTTTTTTTTTGGGGGGGGTCATTTGTGGGGCTTGAACTCTGGGCTTGGGCGCTGTTTCTGAGCTCTTCAGCTCAAGGAGAGTGCTCTACCACAGCACCACTTCCGGTTTTTGAGTAGTTTATTGGAGATAAGAATCTCATGGACTTTGCTGCGCAGGCTGGCTTTGAACCCAGGTCCTCAGATCTCAGCCTCCTGAGTAGCTAGGATTATAGGCATGAGCCACTGGAACCCGGCTACTTCTTGCTTTTTATTTTTGTTTGGTACTGAATAATTGAACTCAGGGCTTCATGCATGCTAGGCAAGTACCCTACCACTAAGCCACATCTCTTGCCCAGGATGTAGTTAGTTTTATTAGAAAACAAAACTATCACCTTGTATATAATGTCATTGTAATCAAGGTAATAATACAGGTTTTGATGCCTATACTTTTATGTTATTAAAAGTTCTGTAGGGTTATCTTGTCCATATTACTTTTTTTTATGGTACTGACTTTGTTAAGCAGACACTCTACTACTGGACCCATGCTTTCAGCCCTATTTGCTTTTAGGTTCTTTTTAGGTAGGGTATTGCTGTTTGTTCTGGCTGGCCTCAGACTATAATTATCTACCTATTCCATGTTGCTGGGGCCACAACTCTATGCCACCATGCTCAGCTTGATTGATTGATATGTTAACTTTTTGATTGATGTTGATTGATTGGTATGCTAATTTTTTGCACAAGGTAGTGTCAAACTGTGATCTTCCCTATCTCTGCCTAGTAGCTGAAATGACAGTCAAGATTCCTGTTTACATATAATCCTTTCTTTTTTTTCTTTCTTCCTTTTTTTTTTTTTTCTGTTGTTGTTGGTCGTGGCGCTTGAACTTGGGGCCTGGACACTATCCCTGAGCTCTTTTGCTTACAGCTAGTTCCCTACCACTTTGAGCCTCAGCACTATTTCTTGTTGATAAAAATCACCTGAATTTTCCTGCCAGGACTTTGAATAGTGATCCTCAGATCTCAACCTCCTGAGTAGCTAGGATTACAGATGTGAGCCACCAGTGCCCAGCTCTACATCTCTTTTTTGTTGTTGTTGGTGGTGGGGCTTGAACTCTGGGCCTAGGTGCTTAACAATTCAGCTCAAGGCTAGCACTCTACCACTTGAGCCACAGCACCACTTCAGGTTTTTTGGTGGTTTATTGGAGATAAGAGTTTCATGGGCTTTCCTGCCCTGGCTGGCTTTGAACCATGATCCTCAGATCTCAGCCTCCTGAGTAGTGAGGATCACAGGTGTTAGCCACGAGCACCTGGCTAAATTCATTTCTTACTGGTAGAGTGCTTGCCTAGCATGCATGAAGCCCTGGGTTTGATTCCTCAGTACCACATAAACAGAAAAGGTCTGAAGTGGCACTGTAGTTCAAGTGATAGAGTGCTAGCCTTGAGCAAAAGAAGCTCAGGGACAGTGCCCAGGCCCTGAGTTCAAGCCCCAGGACTGGCACCAAATATAAATAAAGTTATTTTGAACCTTGTGTAATAGGAGATGCTTGTTATCCTAGCACTTACGATTCTGAGGCAGGACGGTTTTGAATTCCAGGCCAGCCTGAAATACATGATAGACCCTGTCGCAGAAAACCAAAATAATAATGATAATAATCACTTTTAACTAACAGTGGCTACTAGCATGTTAGAATGTGAGAATCTTGACTTGGAATCCAGAAGAAGGGAGGCAGAGCCTAATTTCTGACTTTTTATATGGCTGAAGAAGGTGTTAAAATGACTCTTAGTACTTCAAGGTCCCTAAACTGACTAGAGTCACTTTCTTGAGGCTAGAGCCACCTGAATGACTTTGCCAACGTTGATGCTTCACAAGGATCTGGTTTCCTAAACCCCAACGGTCAAGGCCTTAGTTAGCTGTTCATATCAGCCGACCTTTCCCACTGCAGGCACTACCTCAACACTGTGGTGGAGTGGATTTTGTTAGGAAGTAGGGCAGGACCCTTTAGGTAAGATGTGGCATTGACCTCATTTGAGACCCTGAAGTACTAGACCTGTGGTCTAGAGAGGGAAGTGTGCCTAGTTTGAGCTGAGGTCACTCCGCAGGGCAAAACGGGATGCCCAAGGCAAAGAAAGACTTCCTGGATACTAGGAAGTGGAAAGAGGAGGCCTGCCTGATGGGCCTGCCGGGGCTGCGCATGCGCAGTCATCACAGCCACGGGGCTTGCTAACTCTGGAGCCAAGAAGCTCTGAACACCAAGTCAGTAAGAGGAGGGTATATCCCCTTCCAGTTGGGGCTTTCTTCCAACCAAACTTCTCACACCTGCACGCCTGGTCCTCAACCCCCCAAGCGCCATCACAAACAGATACTGACTGATCACCAGAGGGAAGGGCGTTTGGGCCGGAAGTCCCGCCCGCGGAAGTGAGTCTGCTTGCAGAGCTGGGAAGCCCAGTCAGGCTTCGAGGGAGAGCAGGCTGGTAACGCCTGGTCCTCCTCAGCTCAAGGGTAAAGGCCATGCCCTCAGCCTCGCCTCAGCCCACCTGGGAGCTCGGCTGACTGCTTCCCTTGGCCTGTTTATCCTCTTAGCGGCTAGGGTGCCTCAAGGCTGCGGAACCTACCGAACTCTACCAACCAAGGAGGGGATGGGTTGAGCTGAGGGGACTGGGCCTACCTAGCAGTCACCAGGCCCAGCCGCGGCCGCCATAACTTCTGGAGCGGGAAAGGGGGGTGGGGGTAGGGAGGAAGCTTTGGCACTTCGTAATGGTCTGAAGTCTGCATGCCCAGCTGCTTCCCACATGATTGTGTGTGTGTGAGAGAGAGAGAGTGTGTGTGTGTTAGAGACTTTGGGGGCGAGGAGGTACGGGCAAGATCCAGAGATGGTTTGTTTCTCACAAGGAGGGCAGGACTACGTGTTCAAGGTCGAGCCCAAGGTCTGGTGAAGTATGCCGAGGAGTCACTCTGACTCACACCTCTAACCAGCTCCCACTTGAGAACTGCGGCCCCAGCAGAGTCTGCAGGACCATCCATGTTTGGCCAAAGGAGTCCTTTCAGCTCTTTGGGTGAGCCTGGCTTTGGTGGTGGTGTGGAAACTGAGGCAGCAGGGCAGAATTTGCCTGCCTTTCTTGCAGGTCTTAGGGATGTCTGTCACTGAACCGATTCCCAGTACCCTGGGCACATTGTCTATAATTTTGTTTAGTATTTGTATTTTTATGTTTAGTACTTTTCTCCTTGCCTCTCTTTTTAGAGAACATTTTTCTGCCATGTATGCTTCTGAGCTGGAGTCCCCTGTCAGCTAATTAACAGTGGCAGTTCCACCAGTGCCCAGGAATAGACTTTTTTTTTTAATTAGCATTGAACTTTAGCTTATGGAGAGAAATTGGGCTATAGAGAACTTAAGCCTATGTCTGGTTTTAAACCTCTAACACTTGGAGAAGTGTCTAATTTGAGACTGAAATGAAGATTCTCAGGAGAGAAAATACCACAGATCTGAGAAGGGTCAATTAGATTCAACCAGTTATTTGTTTGATAAAATTGGTTGAACCTGAGTGAGTGGTGCATACTTGTAATCCTAGCAACTCAAGAAGCTGAGATCTGAGAATCACAGTTTGAAGCCATCCCTGGCAGGAAAGCCCTGGAAACTATTAACTACTAGAAAAGATGGAAGTGGAGCTGTGGCTCAGTGGTAGAGTGCCAGCCTTGAGCACTGAAGACCCGGGACAGTGCCCAGGCGTTGAGTTCAAGCTCCAAGACTGGCACAAAAATGAATAAATAAATAAGTTTGTCTATAGTTTCTTAGAAATCTAGGTGTATGTGTTTTCATATTTAATTCTTGGAACAACATGAAGTGGGAACATCAGTAATATTTCACATATGAGGAAATGCAGCCTCAGAGAATTGAAGCAACCTATCTAGTGTCACACTAATAAGTTGCAGATTTAATCCCTGGTCTTCTGCCTTCTGGAAAGCTTTTCTTTTTCCTCCTTTACCTTTGCATTTTGACATTCTTAAAAATTAATTTGAATTGTGAAAATAATTTTCACAATTCTTTATTTTATAGATGAAATATAAAGAAAAATACCAACAAAAATGGAAAATGAGGACACAAAGAAAATGCAAGGTGAGAAATTCATGGATCATATATACAAAATGAGTTTATTATCTATTTGAGAAATATATTTAAAAATTTTTTTAATTTTTAATTTAAAATATTTAAAATACAAGGGGTGAATGAATCATTCAGTAGTTTATGTGAATATTGAACACCTGTTCTGTACCTGTCACTTGGCTTTAGAAAACTGACATGAGAAAAGACATGCTGATACTAAGAACACCATAAGATACTGGATACAAAAGAATATGAAAGACTATACTCAGCTGGGTGCCAGTGGCTCATGCCTGTAATCCTAGTTACTGAGGAGGTTGAGATCTGAGGATTGCAGTTCAAAGCCAGCCCAGACAGGAAAGTCCGTGAGATTCTTATCTCCAGTAAACCCCCAGAAAACTGGAAGTGGCACTGTGACTCAAGTGGTAGAGTGCTATCCTTGAGCTGAAAAGCTCAGGGACAACACCCAGGCTCAAAGTTCAAGACCCACAACCGACCAAAAAGAAAAAAAAAAAGACTATGTTCAGTGGTTTGTGTTGTAATCTCATTATTTGGGGAAGAGTTGAACAGGATCATGGTCTGAGTTCAGCCTGAACAAAAATTAATGAGACTCCATCTCAATACAAGCCCTATGATCCTAGTGACACAGGAGGTCATAGGTAGGAGAATCATAGTATTCCAGCCTCTGGGCCAAAACAACTCCCTTACAAAAAAAAGTGAGATCTTTTCTAAAAAATGGCTAAAACAAGGGCTGGGGCATGGAAAGTGGTAGAGAGTGCCTGCCTCGCAAATGTGGCAGCCCAGTGCTGCCAAGAAGGAAAATAAATATTATTGTATGCGTTTTGCTAAAATTGTTTAGACATTTTGTATGTTCACAAGGGATATTGGTTTGTAGTTTTATTCCTAATGGTTTTGTTGTAGAATGAATTGGGAAGCTGGGAGGTGTGTACAATGATGTACATCTATAATTCCAGGTGCTCCAGTTTGTGACCCACTAGAATCTTGAGCTTGAGGCCAGCTAGGCTACAGCAAGATCCTGTCTCAAAAACAAAACAAAATAAAACAAAACAAAACAACAAAAAACCACCACCCCCACCAAAAAAACACACCAACAATTGAGCTAGGTGCGGGTAGCTCATGCCTGTATTCCTAGCTACTTAGGAGGCTATGATCTGAGGACTGCAGTTTGAAGCCAGCTGGAGCAGAAAAGTGCATGAGACTCTTAGCTCCTATCAACCACCAAATTGCTGAAAGAGAAGCTGTCGCTCAAGTGATACAGCACTAGCCTTGAGCACAAAAGCTCAGGGAGAGTGCCCAGGCCTGATTTCAAGCCTCAGTACCAGCATGTGCGGGCACATACATACATGCAGACACACACACACACACACACACACACACACACACACACACACACACACACACACACGATTTTTCTGCATGGGCTGGCTTTAAAGTGGTATCTTCAGATCTCAGTCTTCTGAGTAACTAGGATTACCAGTATAAGCCACTGGTGCCTAGCTTTAATGGAAAGGAAAGGTTTTAAACTATGACTTAAGCTTCTTTCCTAGCTATATTACCAGTCAGTTATCATTTCTTTTGGAGGGAACTTGGTGATGTGTATCTTTCCAACAATTCCTTTATGTCACATAAATCATTGATCTATAGGTATGACATGCATAAACACTACCTTTAAAGTATCCGTAGGATCTGTGGTGATTCCTTCTCTCTTAATTTCTAATACTGATAGTTTGCATATTCTTTTTTATATAATCAGTTTGGTTACAGAACTATCAAATATCTTTTCAAATAAGTTGATCCATTGTTTTTCTTTCTTTTCTTTTTTTGATTGGTTGTGAGGCTTGACTTCATGACCTAGGTACTGTCCTTGTCGTGGGGGTTGAACTCGGCTTGGGCGCTGTCCCTCAGCTATTCAGCTCAAGGCTAGCGCTCTACCACTTGAGCTACAACGCCACTTCCGGTTTTCTGGTGGTTTATTGGAGATAAGAGTTTCACGGACTTTCTTGCCAGGGCTGGCTTTGAACTTCGGTTCTCAGATCTCAGCCTCCTGAGTAGCTAGGATTACAGGCATGAGCCACGGGCACCCAGCTCCCTGAGCTTTTTTGCTCAAGGCTGGCACTCTACCACTTTGAGTCACAGTGACACTAAGTTTTTTTGTGGTTAATTGGAGGTAAGAATCTCATGGACTTTCCTACCTGGGCTGGCATTGAACTACTATTGTCAGATCTCAGCCTCTTGAGTAGCTAGGATTACAAGTGTGAGCCACCAGCACCTTGCACTCCACTGTTTTTCTATTTTACTGATTTCAGCTTTCTTTACAATTTCTTTATAACTTTCCTTCTTTCCTTACTTTGGGCTTAATTTGCTTTTTTTATTTTTTCTAGTTTCTTAAGGAAGAAGCTGAAGTTACTGATTTTAGACCCTTCTTTTCTCACACAATTATTATGAAATTGTCCCTAATTACTGTTGTAGTAGCACCTCACACATTCATTTTTATTTCCTTTAAATGGTATGTACTTAAGCCATTGTATGTTCACTTAAGAAGAATATTTGTAACTTGGGTGCCAGTGGCTCATACCTGTAATCCTAGCTGCTCAAGAAGGTTGAGGTCCAAGAATGGAGGTTCAAAGCCTGCCCAAACTGGAATATCTGTGAGACTCTAGTTAACCATCAAAAAGCCAGAAATGGTGCCATAGCTCAAATGGTAGAGCACCAACTTTGAGTGAAAAAACTGAGAGGCAGTGCTCAGGTCCTGAGTTCAAACCCAGTACCAACACATATACAAAATGAATATTTGTATTTTCTTCTTTTCATGGAAAAGAAAAAACAAAGTACTATAAGAAATTTAAGTTTTATTTAAAGAACATCTTTTTTTTTAAGATATGTCTTTGTTGTTCATCAGATCTTGAAAGTAATATGTTTTACTATTTTAAAAATCAATCATTATACCAGGTGCCAGTGACTCACACTTGTAATCCTAGCTTCTCAGGACTATATCTAAGGAATGTGTTTCAAAGCCAGCCCAGGCAGGAAAGCCTATGAGACTTTTTAACTCCACCAAAAAGCCAGAAGTGGAGCTGTTGCTGAAGTGATGAGTGTTAGCCTTGAGTGAAACAGCTTAAGGATAGGCCCAGACCCTGAGTTCTAGCCCCAGCGCATCAAATTTTTTTAAGTCTATTTGAGAACAATAATAATAGTTATATTAATAACAATTCCAAAGATATGTAACTAGAAATTAACATTGGAAAAAGAAATAAACATTTATTATTGAAAAAATCTTGTTTATTGTATGTTTTTTCTCCAGAAATGAAAACTGACCTGGACTTATTATTGGAGTGTCTGAAATATCAAATGGACAATTCTATTTCACAGAAGGAAGCTTTAGTTACTATTCATTCAATTTGTCAACAAAACAGTAAGACATGATAATGAACTTTTATTTATAATTCTAGTTCTTTAGTACTGTGATATATCAAATATGCATTGTTCTTCTCACTTTATGTGCTATATTAATTCTCTATTTGAGTTTTTAAATCCATAGCAAAATAATAATCAAATATGCCTTGTTTTGTCTATACATCCTACAGGTGATGCAGGTGTTTATTTTCGGGAAATTGGTGGTCTGATATTTGTAAAAAACCTTGCAAAGTCAAGTGAACATAGTATGGTTAAAGAAGCAGCATTATTTACATTAGGTGCTCTTGCAGAAGAAAATGGTAAAATAATAAGTCTTGTTTATTCAGTATTGTGTTATTCTGTACTTGAAAATACTTTTAGAATGTTATAGTAAAGATGCAGGAGGATCAAAGTTTGAGATCAGCCTGAGCAAAATGTTTATAAGACCCCTCTCAACAGAAAAACCTGTATATGGCAGTGTGTATCTGTTATCCCAGGTACAGCAGGTATCAACAATAGGAGGATCATGGTCTGGGCTGGCCTGGGCAAAAAAAGTACCCTAGTTCAAAAAATTGTCAGGGCAAAAAGGGCTGGGGGCCTGTAATGGTAGAATATCACCTGACAATCCTTGAGTTCAAATCTCAGTACACCCAAAACAATAGTAATAACTAGTATTAATAGTTAATAATTAAGTTAATATAACTACTGTTATTGTTTTAGAATTAAATTATTTCCATGTTTGAATAGTTTTATGTGGGTACTTAAATCAAAAGATGAAGATAATCCACAAACAACCACGTTAAATGCTTTGGGCACAGAAATTCATGTTGACAAGAATATTTTCCTGCCATAAATATCTATATATATATATATACACACACTTTAAATAATAAGATTGAATATCAACCATTTAATTTGTCAAACCAGCCTTATATTTTTATATTAATAATTTTTTTTGCCAGTCCTGGGGCTTGAACTCAGGCCCTGCGTACTGTCCCTGAGCTGCTTTTGCTCAAGGCTAGCACTCTACCACTTGAGCCATAGCACCACTTCCAGCATTTTCTGTTTTTATGTGGTACTGAGGAATTGTACATCGGGCTTCATGCATGCTAGGCAAGCACTCTATTACTAAGCCACATTCCCAACCTCATTAATAATTTCTTATCAGCTATTAAGAACCAACCCCAAGTTCTGTGCTAGACATTGAGGATATAGGGATGGATTTTTTTAGTCCTTACCTTTGAGATAGTTTTCTAGCTGGTTCTAGGCACTTGGCAAAATGCTGATTGTATTACTATGTCCAATTTTATTTTACGACTAAGGATTGAACCCAGGGCCTTAGGAATGCTAAGCACTTGTTCTTTTCACTGAGCTACACCCCAAGATTCCAAATAGTTTTTTTAATTCTGCTTATTTTATGAGCATCTAAAAAGAAATCAGGGAGCTGAGAGCTGGTGGCTTCCAATTGTAATCCTAGATCTGTGGATGTGGCTTGAAGCTAATCCCAGTAGAGCTGTGGTTCAAGTGGTAGAGCGCTAGCCCTGAGCAAAAAGTTCAGGCCAAGTCCTGAATCCAAACCCAGGACCAACACACACCAAAGAGGTGAAGGAGGGGAGAAAGGGAGAGAGGACTCACACCTATAATCCTAGCTGCTTGGGGGCAGAGATCAGGAAGTGTTATGCTTCAAAGACAGCCTGGGCAAAAAGTCTCAATCAGTAGATGAGTGCAGTGGTTGTGTGCCTGTTATCCAGGCTGAGATGGTTGGGAAGGTTGAGATTGGAAGGATTGTTGGATGCTGTCCTTGAGGTTTTGTGCTCAAGGCTAACACACTACCACTTGAGCCATAGCTCCATTTCCAGCTTTTTTGGTAGTTAATTGGAGTCTCATGGAGTTTCCTTCCCCAAGCTAACTTTAAAACTTAATCCTCAGATCTCAGCCTCTGATTACTAGGATTACAGGCATGAGCCACCAGTGCCCAGGCTCATTGTTGAATTTTGAAAAGACTTTAGTCTCTAGAAAAGTCTCAGAAGAAATATTATACATTTTGTCCATTTGTTTTTCAAAGCATATTTCTGAATTTTCTTAAATTGTTTTTCTTATTTTGTTTTATTCTTAAATTTCCTTGTCTAAGATTTTATTTACTTAGGTTTTTATTATAAATTCTAGTGTAACACTTTTGATTAGAGACTGTGGCTTGGTCTACTGCTGCATTGGTCTGCTACTTAAGCACATATCAATTTATCAGAAATTTTGTCAGAATTTCTAATAAGTGTCAAATGAGAACTGTTTAATAATATTGTAATAATAATGTTGTAATATATTGTAATAATATTGAATAATATTGCAATAATAATTCATATTTTGTTAACATATTTTATAATTGTTATATATTATTGCATTGAAATTAAATTTTATATTTCAGTTTACAGCCAGCAAACTTTGTGTACTTCAGATTTATTTGAAGACTTAATTTTGTTCTTATCTAATGATGATTCAAACACAAATTTAAAAAGAATGTCTGTCTATGTTATTTTGGTCCTGGTTTCAAATAATAGTAAGTAAATTCTCTCATGAACGTTTAAAACATTTAAAATAATACATTGAGTAGTTATTTATCATTCTAGTCCTTATATTAGTATCTTTTTTTTTTCTTTTTGCTGGTCCTGGGGCTTAAATTCAGAGCCTGGGTGCTATCCCTGAGCTTCTAGCCATTGGCTCAAGGCCAGTGCTTTACCACTTGAGCCACAGTACTACTTCGGTCTTTTTCTGAGTAGTTTATTAGTGATGAGTTTCACAGACTTTCCTGCCTGGGCTTGTTTTGAATTGCAATCTTCATATCTCAGCCTCCTGAGTAGCTAGGATTGCAGGCATGAGCTGCCGGCACCTGGCTAGTATCTTTTTTTTAACCTGATTGACTTTTAATAAATACTAACTTTAAGGAGAGTATATGTTTAGTCATTTTATATATTAATACATAATTTTAAAAAGAGTAAAGTAAGTTGTACTACTAAAGGAGCACTGAAATGAATTCATTTGGTTGACTTTTTACTGAATTGCCTACTTAAAGAGTTTACTGTGTATTAGGCAGTACTGGTTTTTATTTGGGGATAAGTTTTACATTCACAGAAAAGTTGAAAATAGGGCTGGGAATGTGGCTTAGTGGTAGAGTGCTTCCCTAGCATGCATGAAGCCCTAGGTTCTATTCTTTAGTACCGCATAAACAGAAAAGGCTGGAAGTGGTGCTGTGGCTTAATTGGTAGAGTGCTAGCCTTGAGCATAAGCAGCTCAGGGACACTGCCCATGCCCAGAGTTCTAAGTTCAAGCCCCAGGACTGTCAAAAAAAGAAAAAGATAAAAAAAAAAAGGTAGAAATATAGTATAGAATAGTCACATGTATCTACTGCTGAGATCAAGATTATTTTTGAATTTAATTCTAATTGTTAGGTACTTAAAATGCTTCTAGATTTACTTCTTCCTAGCCTTCTTCTTGAAGGCTAGGAAGGTGGCTCAGTGGTAGAGTACTTGCCTTGCATGCATGAGGCCCTGGGTTCGATTTCTCAGCACCACATAAGCAGAAAAAGCAGGAAGTAGAGCTGTCTCAAGTGGTAAAGTCCTAGCCTTGAGCTGAAGAGCTGAGGGACAGCACCCAGGCCCAGAGTTGAGGCCCTATGACCAACAAAAAAAATAAAAATAAATAAAAAGGTTGAATTAATTTATTGTGCTACAATATGCAATACTTTTTCATATTATACCAGAGAACCATGATTTAAATGTAAGTTTTAGCCAGGTCCCAGTGGCTCGCTCCTGTAAGCCTAGCTACGTAGGAGGCTAAGATCTGAGAATCAAGGCCCAAAGCCAGCCAGGCAGACATAGCCAAGAGAATCTTACTTCCAATTAACCAGCAAAAGATGGAAGTGGAGTTGTGGCTCAAGTGGTAGAGTGCCAGTTTTGAACAGAAAAAAACTAAGTTCAAGCTCAAAGCCCTAGAGAGTTCAAGCATAGCATACACACGAAAAACAAAACGTCCCTTAAGATAAACCAAAAGTGTTTTGTAATTTTTAGATGAAATTTGAATATTGTCAATCTTTTAAGCAAAAGAAGTTATTTTTCCATAATAATCTTGATATAGATTTTTATTTACTATAATTTTGTGTTGTAGCCTTTACTACATTAAAGCAGCTTAAAAGCTAGATATTTATTGAAATAGAACATAAATGTTTTAAATTTCTTTAAAATCATTGTTAATAGAAATTATATTCATGTAACATATGTTTTTTTGTAAGGGTGTGGACAAACACTTGTGAGAGAAACAGGTTGTATTACCGTTCTGTCAGAATTGTTCAGGTAAGCAAATATAAATTTCTTGTTGTTAATTGGGCATTGCGTATGACCTTAATATATTTATCTTAATTTGCTTCCTTTTTAACCTAATAGGACAGTTCTTTCAAAACATGAGTTGAATTTGTTAGATAATAAGGTTTTCCAGAATTATCAGTTGTGGTCTTCAGTGTGTAGTGCTCTGTGTGCCTGTGTCAACAATCCTCAAAATGGTAATTATTTAATTATTTAAATATAAAGATATGGGGTGGAGGGAAAGCGGGAGAAAACAAGGGCGGGGGTAACAATGTTCAACAAGAAATGTACTCATTACCTTACTTATGTAACTGTAACCCTTCTGACATCACCCTTACAATAAAATAAAATTTAATTAAAAAATAAATATAAAGATAAATGACAGTTGTTATTTTCTAATATTAAATTAAAACATGATTGACTGCCTCATTTCAGATGAGAATCAAACATTTTGCTGTTCACTTTTTCCATATGCTAATGATTGGCTAATATCTTGCATGAAACCTGAGATAATTCGCCCTCTCTGCTCATTTATTGGACTTACGCTAGCAAATAATAGTAAGTATGTAGTTTGTTCTCTAAGCCATGTGAAGAAACATTTCAAAGCATAACAAAAATGGTTGGATTATTTCATTGACTAATAAGTTTTATTCTAGTAATTTGGGTCATTTTGGGTACCTTTAGGTTCTTTTCAATAAGAATAATTTAGAAGTCAATATTGTTTAGAGAATATTGGGAAGATAGTAGCAGCAGAATGTTTTGTTTTGAGACAAGACCTCTGTATATACCAAACTAGTCTCAAAGTTTCTATGTAGCCCAGGTTGGCCTCAAACTCTATTCTCAGGCTGGGAAGGTGGCTCAGTGGTAGAGTGCTTGCCTTGCATGCATGAGGCCCTGTGTTCGATTCCTCAGCACCACATAAGCAAAAAAAGCTGGAAGTGGTGCTATGGCTCAAGTGGTAGAGCGCTAGCCTTGAGCTGAAGAGCTGAGACCCCATGACCAACAACCCCCTCCCCCCAAAAACCCTGATTATTCTCAAGCTTACAAAGTGCTGAGGTTATAGGGGTACACCACTATGTCCAATCTGCAGCATCTTTTGTATTTTTTTCTTCAGTTGTAGGGCTTGAACTCCAGACCTGGGCACTGTCTCTGAGCTCTTTTTGCTCATGACTAGTGCTTTAGCACTTTGAGACACAGACCTACTTCTGGTTTTCTGGTGGTTAATTGGAGATAAGAGTCTCATAGACAGTCCTGCCTGGGCTGGCTTTGAACTAGTATTCTCAGATCTCAACCTCCTGAGTAGCTGGAAATACAGGTGTAAGCCACTAGTCTGGCTTCATTTTTAATCTTCCTAGATTCACTCATAAAACAAAGTAATGAGATAACAAAACTAGAAACCCATAAAAAAATATGCTTGGGAAACAACTGAATTAAATTACAAATTAACAAATACAAAAAATGTAGAAAATTCAAATGCCTTGTAATTCAAAAGGCTCAAATTACAAATATCACTATGACAAGATGACATTGCTATAGATATTGACATATACTAAAAGGATGTAGGCCATGTAATTTGACAACTTTGAATAAATTCCCTGAAATATACAAACTACTAAAGCTCACACAAAAGAAATGGATAACTTGATTAGTAAATAGAATTCAAAATTTAAATTCTTAACATCAAGGGGAATTTCAGTCTCTGATGATTTTTTTGGTGAATTCTACCACATATTTCAGAAGAAAAATGAACCTGTGTAAATTAATCTTGGAAATAGAAGTAGAAGGAACACTTTACAACATGTTCTATAAAGTCAGCATTACACCCATGTAAAAGTCTTTAACAAAACATTAACAAGTCAAACAACAGAATAATAACTTCTGACCAAGTAGCATATATCCCAGGAATGCACAATTGGATTAACATTAGAAAAAAATTAGGGTTATTGATTTTTTTATTTGTGTGTGTGTTGGGGGAAGGGGGTGGTTCTGGGGCTTGAACTCAAGGTCTGGGCACTCTTCCCTGAGCTTTTGTGCTCAAGGCTATACCATTTGAGCCACAGTTCCACTTCCAGCTCTTTAATTGAAGTTAAGGGTCTCATGGGCTTTCCTATCCAGGCTGGCTTTGAACTGTGATACTTAGATCTCAGCTTCCTGAGTAGCTAGAATTATTGCCACTGATGCCCAGTTTAGGATCTTTAATTTTTTTACAATGGTGATGGCAATTCTGTGAAAGAAAAGTCTTTTGGGGCTGGGAAGGCAGCTCAGTGGTAAAGCGCTTGCCTTGATTGCCAGAGGCCCTGGGTTCGATTCCTCAGCACCACATAAGCAAAAAGAAAAAAGCTGGAAGTGGCGCTGTGGCTCAAGTGGTAGAGCACTAGCCTTGAGCTGAAGAGCTGAGGAACAGTGCCCAGGCCCAGAGTTCAGGCCCCACGACCAGACCCAAAAAAAAAAAAGTCTTTTTAACCAGTGATGGTAAAAAATAATAAATACAAAATACAGTTCTTAACTCAAAATATACATAATATTTGTATATATCTCATGCAATGTGTAACAATAATTTGAAATTTTTAGACAAAAGCATAAAAAGAAAATGCTCAAAATTCTCCTACTTCTGCTTTTTAATTACAAGTATGCCCCACCCTCCCTCCTGAGACTATATTTGTTATAGCTCTACTGAAATAATCACTTAATATAAAACAGACTAGTAATATTACTTAGAAAATACATCAGTTATCAATAAATAAAAGAGATTTCCAAACACAAGAAGACTGTTTTGTACTATACATGTAAGTTGTATTATGTAAAAGGGAAGCACTTAATTAATATACCCCTGTGATTGTGTATATTCACTGATAAAGATTGGAATTTTTGTTCCAGTACTGAGGCTTGAACTCAGGACCTGCTCACTAGGTAGGCATTCTACTACTGGAGCCAAGTATGCTATAATTTTTGCTTTAGTGTTTTTAATTTGGGTCTTGGATTTTTGCCCAGGGAGGCCTGAGACTGTGATTTTCCTACCAATAATGCCTCCTGCATAGTTAAGATTACAGGTATGCATCACCATATTCAGCTTCTTCTGTTGTGTTGGGATTTCAATTTTTTTGGAGAGGCAGGGGGAGAAGAGCCCACACTGGCCTTGAACCATGATCCTCCCAATTTTTGCTTCTTTTAGGGTATCCTAATTTTTTAAAACAATTCTTTAGTTTTGGGATTTTAGTAAATATTTCAGAAAAATAAGTTATTGTTATATTTGATAGAAATTAATTGAATGAAACCATATACCTGTCTTGAAATACTAACAGTTCTGCTTTATTCCTAAAGCATATGTTCAGAAATACTTTGTGTCTGTGGGTGGATTGGAGGTATTGTCTCAAGTTCTTGTGCACCTGGAATCTGACTCATACAAAATTGTGTCCAATGCTAAGCTTGCAGTGGTGGTGACAAAAACAATGGATGCATGTATTGCTGATAATCGTGAGTTAAATGCTTATACTTAGTAAGATTGCTACAGTTGAATTTTGTTGAATTTAGCACGATGAGTTTTGATATTGTAGATTAAATTTGATCATGATTTCCAGTTTGTACAAGTAGAAAAAGATCTTAGAAATGATCTATTCTGGTTCTTCACTTTCTTATGGACATTAAGACTTCCCTAAGGACTCATATCTAGGTCTTCTAATATCAAGTCTAATACTAGAATGAAAATCAGACCTGGATGAATATGGTCAAGGTAGATGGCTTACGTGTTTAAAAATAGAACAATGAAACCTATTGAATTATTTTATGAAGAAACTAATGAAGAATAATAGAGGTAGTGGGATTGATTGGAATATATTGCATATGACTGGAAATGTCCAAATGAAATCCCCCCCCACGCTGATATATGCTAATGAAAATAAATAAAATGGACATATACATATTACAGGATTGTAAAAGAAATAAGAAAAACTAAGATCCTGTAATTCTAACTTTTTTTTTGTCAGTTGTGGGGCTTGAACTCTGGGCTTGGGCACTGTCCCTGTGCTCTTCAGCTCAAGGTGAGCGCTTCGCTTGAGCCACAGCGCCATGCCACTTCTGGTTTTCGAGTGGTTTATTGGAGATAAGAGTCTCAAGCACTTTTCTGCCCTGGCTGGCTTTGAACCATGATTCTCAGATCTCAGCCCCCTTAGGAGGTAGGGTTCAAGGGGGGGCCCCCCCCCCCCCCCCCCCCCCCCCCGCGCCCGGCTCTAAACTTTTAATTCACTTAAAAAGCAGCATTAACCTAAAAGTTTTATATGAGAAATCAAAGGACATTATTGAGATAGAATGTGGAATACCCAATTTACAAACTTTTTAAAAGTTGATGGGGCTGGGAAGGTGGCTCAATGGTAGAGCGCTTGCCTTGCATGCCTAAGGCCCTGGGTTCAATTCCTCAGCACCACATAAGCAAAAAGAAAAAAGCCAGAAGTGGCCCTGTGAGCTGAAGAGCTGAGGGACAGCGCCCAGGCCCAGAGTTCAGGCCCCACGACTGGACCCAAAAAATAAATAAATGAAATAAAAGTTGAATAAAGAAAGTATGCTTTTTAAAAATAAGTGTGAAGTCTATCCCCAGATTCAAAACACATGATGGGCTCTCATTTGTACTGAAAAATGATAGCCCATAAATCCTTGTAAAAGGAATCTGTTATCATTCGCAAATAACTGAAAAAAGATTTTTACAAAGTATTTATTGGCTTGAGCACGAATGGTACACATCTGTAATCCTAGCTACTCAGGAGGCTGAGATCTGAGGATTATTGTTTGAAGCCAACTGGGCAAGAAAGTCTGTGAGACCCTTATCTCCAATTAACCACCAAAAAGCCAGAAGTGGAGCTGTGGCTTAAAATGGTAGACCATTAGCCTTGAGCAAAAACAGCTCAGGAACAGTGCCCAGATCCTGAATTGAAGCCTGGCACCAAAAAGAAAAAAGGCAGTTATTACTGGAGGCATGGCTCAAGTAGTAAAGTACTTGCCTAGCAAGCATTAAGGTCTGGAGTCCAATCCCTAGTATTGAAGAAAACATTTTTTTTTCTGGTAGTGGTGCTTGAACTCGGGGCCTGAGTACTGTTCCTGAGTTTTTCTACCCACAGTTAGTGCTCTACCACTTTGAGCTATAGCTCTACTTCCAGTTTTCTGGTGATTAACTAGAGATAAGAATCTGACCAACTTTCCTTGCCTGGGCTGTCTTCAAACTGCACTCCTCAGATCTCAGCCTTCTTTGTAGCTAGGATTACAGGCCTGAGCACCAGCTCCTGGCTCTATGGAAGAAAAATTTTAAAAAGGCAATTTTTGAGTGCTTGCTATACGCTGAGCTCCAAAGATATAAAAATGATTAAGATCCAATTTCTTGAGAAATTTACAACATTATTGTTGACACCAATATTTTAGACTCTATATTAACTCTATTAAAAGCCCCATGATATCTATAACGTAAACTAGTGGACTTCTTGAGTTTTGTTACATCTCAGCATAGTTTCACCTGTGCTTTATTGCATCATTAGTGTCAAATTATGGTCAGTTAAACAATAATATGAAGCTGGGCACTGGTGGCTCACACCTATAATCCTAACTACTCAAGAGGCTGAGATCTGAGGATCACGATTCAAAGCCAGCCCAGGCAGGAAAGTCCGTGAGACTCTTATCTCCAATAAATCACTAGAAAACTGGAAGTGGCGCTGTGGCTCAAGCAGTAGAGCACTTTCCTTGAGCTGAAGAGCGCAGAGACAGCGCCCAAGCTCAGAGTTCAAGCTCCACAACAGACCAAAATAATAATAATAATAATATGAGGCAGGATTTGGTTATTTAAGAATGTCTTTACTGACCAATGTAGAGATGTAGAAGGTGAGACTAGATATATTTAATTTTTAGGAAGGTAGCATTACAGAACTACTAAAAGGGGCTGGGAATGTGGCTCAGCAGTAGAGTGCTTGCCTTCCATGCATGAAGCCTTGGGTTCCATTCTTCAGCACCATATAAACAGAAAAAGCTGGAAGTGGTGCTGTGGCTCAAGTGGTGAGTGCTAGCCTTGAGCAAAAGCAGCTCAGGGACAGCGCCCAGGCCTTGAGTTCAAGCCCCAGGACCAGCAAAAAACAAAACAAGAAAACAGAACTACTAAAAGAAATCATACTTCAAAAAGTTGCTTTAGAAGGGGTAATGAGGGCAATTATAAGTTAATATCTTATTATGAATTTATATTAACACATATATGTTACATGTTGCATGATACATGTATTAGACATTATATAGACATTTACTGTTCTTCCTGAATAAGCTCCAAAAACATAGGTATATTTATAAGTTTTAAATTTATACTTACTATTCTTCTTGTCTGTTTTGTACTAATAGCTACTTTTAGGGTAATAGTATCCAAATACCACATAGTTTCAAGACTTCTGGCATTACTGTCTCATGAAAATCTTGATTTAGAAGAAAAATTTAGCATCATACTTACTCTTGGGCATTGCACTGAGGATTGTGGTAAGTACTGGATTATTTAATATGTTTTTTTAAAGCATGGGAGTGGAAGCATTTTAATTTCTTCCCCTATCAGTCATATGAAAGACTTAAAATACTAATTTTATCCTGGTCATCTAGGACTTAACTAATTTTTATTTTAGCTCCTCGTTCTCCTCTACAATTTGTATGCAAATTGTGGTTCTATTTCTCTTTCACCTTCTTGTACCTTCCTTTCCAGTGCTTCTGCTACTCTTCTAATTTAAGCCTCTGTCTCTCAAACTTTTCAACAAAATGAACCCAATAGCCACCTCCCTGTGCTCCTCTTTTCCTATCTTTACTTTTCAGTCCAGTTCTTCATGTTGCTTGCTGCAATCCAACCAAAGATTCTAACTACCTAATAGTCTTCCTGCCCCTCCTCTTCCCCATTCCCTCTCTTTCTTCCTTTCTTCCTTCCATTCTTCCTTTCTTTCCCCTACTACTTTCTTTCACTCTTTCTTCAGTCTGCTCCTCCTTTCTAACCATCCCCTTTCCTCACTCTGTGTTCAATCTCCTTCTTTATCCCCCTTCTCACTTTTCCACTCCTCTCTCTTTACTGTCTTGCTTTTCTCTCTTCTCCCTCATTTCAGCTCCTTCTCTGTGTAATTTTGGATCTACCTTATATTTTTTAAAAACCAAGTAAGGTCAGTTTTTTTTTACTCTGTATGCATATGATACTCTGTGGTTGCAGTTCAGAAATGATCACTTATATGCCTTAGGTATATTGTATAAGTAGATTATTTCCTAAGTTGAAAATACTTTTGAAATTATATTTTCTTTTCCTTTAAAATGTTTGAACAATGCATAATTTTCACAAAGAAGAATTATGACCTAATATATATAGTTTATGATATAATAATTACCTTCTATTTTAATTTCTTACATATCTTCCAGAGGAAAATCAGTATGACCTTTTTAAAAACAATGGGCTTCCACTCATGATACAAGCCTTAACTGATTCTCAGAATGAGGAACTACACAAGGCTGCCACATTTGTGCTTCACAACTGCAGAAAAACTAGTAAGTTTACAAGTACCCTTAAGAGAAATACAAACCAATATTTGTAAAGGGGGGGATATTTTCTCTAATAAGCCAAGTTGTTTCAATTTCCAGGGTTTGGGGGATGCTTTCTTTCCTTAATGATATTGGATTGAATTCAGTGCCTCACATTTGTTAGGCAAGTGCTCTACTGCTTGAGTCATGCCTGCTAGCCATTTTGCTTTCAGTTTGTTTGTCATTTAGGAGTATTAGCTTTTGGTCAGGACACCTTTAGAAACAACCTGAAAACTTCTGCCTTTGCTTCCCAAGTACTGAAATTACAGGCATACCCTATAAAATCCTGCTTGTTTTTGAGATAGGGTCTCCCTAACTTTTGCTCTCTATCTCTGCTACCACATTGTGTCTGGAGCACAGTGAACAGTAGCCATGATAAGAATTTTTGTCTTAGGGCTGGGAAGGTGACTTAGTGGTAGAGCTCTTGCCTTGCATGCTCGAGGCCCTGGGTTCGATTCCTCAGAACCACATAAACAAAAAAGAAAAAAGTGGGAAGTGGCACTGTGGCTCAAGTGGTAGAGCGCTAGCCTTGAGCTGAAGAGCTGAGGGACAGCGCCCAGGCCCAGAGTTCAGGCCCCATGACTGGACCCAAAAAAAAAAAAGAAAAAGAAAAAAAAGATGATAGGACAGAACTATTTATGGACCTTTTTTTTTTGTCTTTTTTTTTTTTTTTTTTGTCGGTCGTGGGGCTTGAACTCTGGGCCTGGGCACTGTCCCTCAGCTCTTCAGCTCAAGGCGAGCACTCTACCACTTGAGCTACAGTGCCACTTCCGGTTTTCTGGTGGTTTATTGGAGATAGGAATCTCACAGTCTTTCTGGCCCGGGCTGGCTTTGAACCGGGATCCTCAAATCTCACCCTCCTGAGTAGCTAGGATTATAGGCGTGAGCCACCAGCACCCAGCATGGACACTAAAAACAGCTACTTCTAGAAGTATGGCTAAAGTTGTAGTCCCTGAGTTTAAACTCCAGTATGATTTTTTTTAAAACCTATCCTAGGAGACTGGAAATGTAGCTCAGTAGTAGAGCTCATTTCTTTGCATGTGGGGGACCCTGGTTTAATACCCAAAACAAAGGGAAAACCCTGTTTTAAGACAAGTGTTGATATATATGAGGGTGGTTGTGTGCCAAAAATAACATTGTCATATTGCTGTTTTGCCCATAACTCTGAAAAATTGAGTCTAATTTATAACAATATTTGAGTCCTGGAACCTTGCTAAGCACTCTTATATTTAAGTTCAGCACCAGTTAAGGTATTCTGAATAGACAGAATTTAAAGAATGGGGAGGGTGGCACATGAGGATGTTCTTAAGGATATGACAATGATATCGCTCATAATAGATAAACTTACTATTTCCCCTACATTACAAAGCTGAGAAATTATCTCTAAATGTACGAGGATATTCTTTTGATGAAAATGAAGCAAAACAATTAAAGGACACAAATGCGAAAGAAAAGAATCTTGAAGAGTACTGGAAAACAGCAAAGGAAATTCTGCGCAAAATAGAACAGCTTGAAAGAGAAGACAATGAGGTTAGCTTTTTTGTTTTAACAGAATATATGTATTTTAAGTATTTTTAATAGAGGTTGGAGAGTAAAAATATTTTTCCTACATTTTTAATGTAAAATTTAGTAGTAATACTTGACAGATCAGTGGTGGACATAGGAAAAAACAGGTATTTTTAAAAAGTAGAATACCAGCCAGGCTGCAGTGGCTGACACTTGTAATACTAGTTATTCAGGAGGATGAGATCTAAGGATCGTGGCTTGAAGTCAGCCTAGGCAGGAAAGTAAATGTTATTCTTTATCTACAAATAAGTACCAAAAAGCCAGAAATGCAGCTGTAGCTCAAGTGGTAGAGTACTACTAGCCTAGAGAAAAAAAAGCCAAGTGAGAATGTGAGGCCCTGAATTCAAGCCCCAATATACTCTCACTCTCTCTCTCTCTTTCTCACACACACACACACATATGCGCGCGCAGAATGTCTGAGGATAGAATAATGAAACAGCTAACCACTTTGAAAAAGTGAGAGACGTGGATATAATAGCAGAAGTGAACTTGTTCAAAGTACTCTGTATGTATCTTTGGAATTCTCACAATGAAACCACTTTGTATAGTCATATATGCTATTAAAATGGATTTTTTTTTGTTGGTCATGAGGCCTGAACTCTGAGTCTAGGTGCTGTCCCTCAGCTCTTTAGCTCAAGGCTAGCACTCTACTACTTGAGCCACATCTCTACTTCTGGCTTTTTTCTGCTTATGTGGTGCTGAAGAATCAAACCCAGGGCCTCATGTATGCAAGGCAAGCACTCTACCATTGAGCCACCTTGCCAGCCCCTAAAATGGATTTTTTAAGCAGAAATTAACTAGGTACCAGTCATCAAACCTGTAATCCTAGCTGCTTAGGAGGTTGAGATCTGAAGATTGCAGTTGAAAGCCAGCCTGGGCAGAAGTGTCTGTGAGATCTAACATCTTACTGTATAGTTGTTCAAGGAAAAAGCAATCTGATAATTTCTTCCCCCAGTCTCTCTCTTTCTGCACGTGTGCGTGTGTACACACACACACACACACACAGCAGTGGCATATAGGTATGTTCACACTCTCTTGCTTATGTAGTCAATTTAATGATGAGGGATATATTCATGAGAAATCATCAGATAAACTGATCACTGTGCAAATATCACAGAGTATAATTATGTAAAACAGGTGGTATAGATTATCATTTGATGTGGTGGGTTTGGGTTTTGCTTGTTTTGTTTTTGCCTTTACTTTTCTTGCATAAAGTTTCACATTTTTTGCGCAGGCACAGTCCTGAGACCATGCTTCTCCTATCTATGCTTCCCACATAGCTAGAATTACAGACACATACTGCAATGTCTAGCTTGTATGTTGAAACAGGGTCTTACCAACTTTTTACCCAGGCTGGCTTGAACTGTGATCCTCTGGATCTTTGCCTCCCAGGTAGCTGGATTCACAAGTATGAGCCACAATGCCCACTTTATGTGGTCTTTTGATATAATCAAGATACCAAATTTAAGAGGTATAAAGACCTTACAAAACTGCTGGTGTATCACACTTGTAGCCCTGACTACCCAGGAGACCGATACCTGGGAATTGTGGTTCAAAGCTAGCCCCGCCAAAAAATTCTCAAGATTCTTACCTCCAATTGCCCAGCAAAATGCTGAACATGGAGGAATGACTCAAGTGGTAAAGCTCTAACCTTGAATGAAAAAGCCAAGCAAAGGGTGAACCAATACCAACACGAAGGAAGGGAGGGAGGGAAGGAGGAAGGGAGGGAGAAAGAGAGGAAGGCAGGGGAGGGGAGGGGAGGGGAGGGGAGGAGAGGAAGATAGGAAGATCTTGTAAATCTGAAAGTATTTTATTCTTACAGTTGATGGTTTGACTAACTAGAAAATCACCTGCCCTCATTATACTGAAGGCATTGGTCCATAGTATTGTAGATTCCAGTGTTATTCTTGAGGAATAAACGCGTTTTAATTCCCTGCTATTAACCTATTTTCTCTCCTTGGAAACTTACATAATCCCCACCCCCCTTTTTTTGGTCAGTCTTGAAGCTTGAACTCAGGGCCTGAGTGCTGTATCTGAGCTTTTTTGCTCAAGGTTAGCACTCTACCACTTTGAGCCACAACAACACTTAGTTTTCTGGCAGTTATTGGAGATAGGAGTTTTATGGACTTTCCTGTGCAGGCTGGCTTTCAACACTGATCCTCAGATCTTATCTTCCCAAGTAGCTAGAATTATAGGCGTGAGCCACTAGCACCTAGCTTAAGTTTATATAATCTTTATCTTATGTTTTGAAATTTCACAGTGAGGTACCTGTCAAATATTTTTTACCCTTGGTGAGTTTAAACTCCTATAATAAAGTTTAAAAAAAGATCTTTTTTGTGTGTGTAGCACATTTTCTATGGACCAGAGAAGCCCTGAGTTCAAATTCCAGTACTGGAAAAAAATTACCCTGTGGCCCAATATATGGTATATATGTATTTCCTGGTGTTTTGATTTCTGTTGATTTTGCTTCTTGCTCTTTTTTTACTGAGTCCACACTGCATTGTTCTTGGTCTCAAAGAAAACTTTCAAAAAAAAAATTTTATGTAGATCCTGAGGCTTGAACTCAGGGCCTGGGAGCAGTCCCTGAGCTTCCCCTCCACTCCCCCCCTCAGGGCTAGCATTCTACCACTTGAGCCATGGCTTCATTTCTGGCTTTTTGGTGATTAATTGGAGATGAGAGTCTGGTAGACTCAGTATTCTGAGTAGGATTATAGGTGTGAGCTACCAGCACCTGGCTCAAAAATTTTCATAAAAAAGAAATGTACTCCTTACCTTACATATGTAACTGTAACCCTCCTGTTCATCATCATTATAATAAAAATATAACAAATAAAAAATTTATGTTTCAATATATTTTATTCTTTTATGATTTAGTGATTTTAGTGTAGTACCTGAAGAGGCTGAGAACATTAAAATATCATGGTTTCTTTTAAAACATAATTTCTTTTTCTTTCTCTTTTTTTTTTTGTGCTGGTTCTGGTGTTTGAACTCAAGCCCTAAGCACTGTTCCTGAGCTTTTTTGCTTAAGATTAGCATTCTACCACTTGAGCCATAACTCCACATCTGGCTTTTTGGTGATTAACTGGAGATTAGAATTTTATGGACTTCCCTACTCTAGCTGGCTTCAAACCACAATCCTCCAATTTCAGCCTCCTAGGATTACAGGCATGAGACACCAGCTTATAATTTCATTCTTAACAATCTAAATATCTGGTATATCTTGGCCTTATTTGTGTGTACACTATGAAATAGCTACATTATTTTTTCTATATGGTTTCCTTAATTGTCCTAGGACCATTTATTGAATAAATTTACATTGTCTTCTTAATACAAACTATCATTTTGTCACTTTTATTGACAGCTTTAATATTTTTCTTCATTGTTTAAAGGAAATATAAAGTGGGCTGTGAAGAAATTGATTATATTGGAATCATTTATTTGCCATTTTTACATTATAGGAAGAAATTCAAAGAAGAAGCTATGAGAATCCATTTATGAACAAGGAGAACATACTGAAACACCTCTATTCAGGTAGTACTGGAGATACCAAAGCAGAAGAAGATAAGAATAAAAACCAGCCTGGACAGTTTCAGACTTCTCCATCTGGTGATGTCACATCTAAGGCTTGTGCCACTGATAACCGAGTGAAGACTCTGTTAAAGAGTACACATCCATTTAGTGGACAAAAGATGACTTTACGTAAAGTCAGTTCCAGCTGCAATCAAGGTTTACATGAGAAAACAACTTTTGACAAAAAGAATTTTGTTTATAAATCAAGGTATAGTTCAATAATTTTATCCAATAAGCATTTATTGTATGCTACAATATGCTATATTCTTAAGCAATAGGAATACAAAAATGATAAAGTGAGAGAAGGCTAACGTAGGAAATATTTTCTGAGAAATTAGGATAAGGAGGAGGTAAGTCCCACTTGTTCTAAGGCCTTGCATGTCATGTCTAGAATTTGGGGTTTTAGCTCACAGGATATGGGGAGCATTGAAGATTTTGAATTGAGTTGCATAATCATAATTGAATTTTAAGAAAGTATGCTCAAAAAAGAAAACAGAACTCTTCTACCTGAAGTATTAAAGTTAAGAATTGATCATCTGTTAGCAAATATGGCAAAACCCAATTTGTAATTTTTTGTTGTTGTTTTTTTGTTTTTTTTTTTGGTCCGGTTGTGGGGCCTGAACTCTGGGCCTGGGTGCTGTCCCTCAGCTCTTCAGCTCAAGGCTAGCGCTCTACCTCTTGAGCTACAGTGCCACTTCCGGCTTTTTTTTCTTTTTGCTTATGTGGTGCTGAGGAATCGAACCCAGGGCCTCAGGCATGCAAGGCAAGTGCTCTACCACTGAGCCACCTTCCCAG